TGGGGTTAGGACTTCTCCCCATAGTTCTTCTAAGGGTAACGGAAGGACACAAACTAGCGTCCTCCGCCAGCTGCAGCTGGCGCTATACTGAGATGCCGCAGCTGAAACGGATCCCGACAATTATGTCTGGATCCACCTAGCTGCGTGAGTGACAGCTGGCTCTGCCTATCTGGAGGCAGAGCCAGCTGTACCCGCCCCCTCCCCAGTCCGTTCCGCCAGTCAGCGCTGGAGGAGCGGACAGGGAAGGGGGGAATCCAGTCACTCCCCTGTCACGGCTCTCTGCAGTGACAGGATAGAGAAGTGAGCGAGCGCTGGTATGTGTTCGCTCACTTCCAGATCTACTGAGCCGACCTGTCACAGTTTCATTGTCACAGGTTGGCTAGAACTATGCGGATGGGTGAAAATCACTCGCCTCATAGTTCTCCTTTAACTATTAACAAAAATGTACCTTATCTGTGCATCACTCGGCTGTAGAGTCCCAAATCATCCCCAAATTGGTTCTGACACTGTCCTTCCTTCTGGAGGTTGGCTACTTTTGTTCTTAATGGTTCATGTGTGTATTGTAAAGTAGCCACTGCTCCAAGTTTGCTCCCATGATGGACTACAATCTTACGTTTTGTTTACTCATTTTTAATGATATTGTAGTCAACAAGCAGGACTGGCTGGCTATACTGACTATGGGCTGGCATGCCGTGTGTCAGCATTGTATCATATATCTTCAAATAGGAAGTCCAGCTACACAAAATTACCACATCAGCATGAACGTGTTTCCGTGCTTGCCGTGGTCAGATTGCAAAAGGGGGACTGGTAGGATCACCAGGTATTTGACAGTAAACCAAGAAATAGAAACAGAACCGGGTACATTTACAAAACTTCTTCACAGAAAAATATATGCAAGACATATACATGAAAACTTTCATTTTGGGGTAACAGCCTTGTTACAACTTTAAATAACAATATTATGAAAAGTTCAATTTCAAGAAACACTTGACAAAGAATAACACTTTTACACCATGAAGAGTTTAAAATTATGTCTTTATTAAAGGGTTTTTTTTCCTACAAATATACAGTTAAAATATAAATGACATGTTACTGGAACAAAAGTTAATACAATGTAACAAAGCCGATTTCATACTGCCAAGTGTTTGAGTGACTGAAACTGTCACCATCCTTTATGCAGCTCCTCTAAACCATCTGCCTGATTCACAAAACCCTGACAGAAAGCTCCAGTATAAAAGCTGGCTCACCTTCTAACTCTAATATGCTGGAGGCAAAGACCAATCAAACTGGACAGTCATTCCATTGTGGACTGCTCAGTGAATAAGAACATAAATGAACACAACAATATTAATTGGATTAAAAATATATGGTAATTATATGTTGCTAACTAGTCTAAAATTAACATTGATTTAGCTAGTGCAAGTTAAAAAATAAATATAATTTGAATGTCTAACGTACATTGTTACCCAATCTTTGCTTTATCAGTAAATGTTTGCTTAGTTATACAAGTAATGTGAGCTTATATGTATCTTTGCAAAGCATTGTACCTAAGGGAATAATGTTTTTTTTTTTTAGAAATCAGATAAAGGCATAACTGTTTTTTGATTATTTTAAAATGAAACATTTATATCCATTGCCAGGATTTAACGTTGTGGCAGATTCTTACCCACTTCTTTTCTTTACATACTGAGTTAAGCCATCATAGTTGCTTCATCTAAGTGATTGTTAAGTAGGGGGTTCGCCTTTTACAATCAAATTCTTGTCCCTATAAGAAGACAAACACTGCACCCAGAATACCCAGGTCCATCCCTATAATAATGCCTGAGGTTGTTGCGGTATCTCTTTTGGTCACGTGGGGGGGCACATGGCCACTCTGCTGCACAATGTTTGCAGTGTGCCCGCGGCCCCCTTTTTGGCCAGCGCATCGCTGTTGCTAATAGCTGGGTGGGGAGATGTGTAAGGGCCTTACACATCTCTCCGTCCAGCTCAGTGGGATGCCGCCCAGAGCATCCCAGGTCACTAAGAGCTGGGTGGGGAGATGCAGAGGCCTTACACATCTCCCCACCTGGCTCTTAGAGGCACCACTTTCCACCAGCACCACCCACCCCTCCACTGATTGTGCACCATCCATCAACCCCACCCCCCAACCCCCTCTGAAAACTCAAGTCTACACCTGTAGACTTATGGCTTGTATATCACCCAATAGAGAAGGCTGTATTGACACACTATTAGGACTGTCACCTGGTGATGTCCTGCCCTTCAATTAATAGTATTGAAACATTACCCGTCTGACTTCAGTCCTGCAGAGGCCCTGCCCTTTGCATGCTGGATTTAGTGTCTTATCTACCACTTTGAAACTTAGGACTTATTTTTTTGTACTGCTGACAGTAGTTTGTTTAAAAGATTCTGAAAGAGAAAATTTCCTCCTGACAAAGTTCTATCATATATATCATATTGTGCCCTTCCCAGTATTGCTATTTGCAAATGGTATAGTTTTTGTGAGGGAAGCCATCATAATATCAGTTATATAGCATGTTCCAAAACTCCCCCTATGTTATGGAGAAGAAGAGAGAGGTAGGTGGTCTGTAGTCCTGCCTTAGGGTGACAACATTGGATCAATAGGTGAAACAGCCTGAAAAATGTCGTGCGTCGGGACTTTTTTTATTTTGTCGGGTCGGCGGGGGTCGTGCATCGTGATTGACGCTGGATTACATAGATAGAGCCATTTTTTTTTCATTAAATGAATAGTCAAAAATTGAGTCTTTGTTTTTTTTTCTGTGACCTGGATAGACCTGCTATCCCCTTGAAAACGTCAGAGGTGATGAAACGCGTCGGGGCGGGTCTATTCTACGTCACAGCGTCACGAAGGAATGCGGAAGTGAGCACGGAGACTCACGAGTTGCCGGCCGCTTTGTATTTTAAATGTAAGTTTTTATATGTACATTTTTAAATAAAAGTCAAATCTTGCTTCACCGTGAGGAGTCCCTCTTGCCTCTTTTAATGTATGGGGAACAACATCCTTAGAGCATCTGGAGGGACATCGAGGAGAAAGTGTCCCAATACCTGCCTTAAGCTGTCCATAAAGTGAAACCTAAATCGTTTTTGTGGTGAGTGTGCATTACCCCATGGGGGGTCACGTGTGCTACACTTGGAGGATCGTTTTTGTCACCAGCACTGCACCTAAGGATGTAAAGATCTTCTTTGAAGGAAAACAAACATAATTTTATTTTCACCATAAGAAAGACTGTTTTGATTTTAAGGATTTAAGTAACTTCACGTTTGTTACATCGGACATTTTATAGATCCAGATTGTTAGGCATTCTAAGTATTGTTTGTTTGAATGCCCTATACACATGCTTTTGTTCTATGACTTTCATGTTTTTTTCTTTAGTGTGTTATTTAATCATGGTTTGTTCATATAATCTGGTAGTCTAGATACCCAGATTGGATTGCACTATAAGTACCTTTTATTGAATATTTTTGGTTTATGATAATCACGGCTATTTTTTGATTACTGTGCCGTTCACTGTGATATATTCACTTTACCTTCACTAAATTAATTACTGGAGCATCCTAATTTATATATTATAATTTCTCATTATTTTGTATCCAGTATAAAAGGTTGATCACTAACTTAGGGGTTTCAGACACATCAAGACCAGTATTGTTATCCTTTTCAATTAAAGGATTTTATCTAAAAGTCTGGACTTTTTACTAACTATTTGATTTAGGCCTTTAGTGAATGAGTAGGGGTACACGTACGCCCTTACTCATTAACAAGGGGGGGCGGCATCTGGGTGCCCCCTTTTTTAAAGGGGTACCCAGATGCAAATAAGCCCCCTTGCCCGCAGACCCCCACAACCACCAGGTCAGGGTTGTGAGGAAGAGGCCCTTGTCCCCATCGGCACGGGGACACCCTCCCAATGCCGAGGGCACGTGGCCTGGTAAGGCGCAGGGAGGGGGGCGCTCGATCACCCCCCCTTTCCTGCCCTGCCGGGCCAGTGCTCGGATCAAGGGTCTGGTAGGACTGTTAGGGGGGACCACAAGTTTTTTCTCCATTTTTTGGGGCTGGGGTTCCCCCTTAAAATTCCTACCAGACCTAAAGGGTCTGGTAGGGATTTTGGGGGGAACCCCACACACTTTTTTTGTTTTAACTTGGGGGAGGGTCCCTCCTAACATTCCCATCAGACCTAAAGGGTCTGGCCCAGATAGCAAGGATAACTTGCTACAAACTTGTGGCGGGGTGAAATTGTAATTTTGTTAACTTGCTGCACATATTCCTGGCAAGTTGTAGACTTGCAGAACACTCGCAGCACAAATTCTAGTTGACACTTTTTGAACTTGTAGCAAATTTGCTTGGCAAGTCTACAGCAAGAGTCCTGCAGGTCTTAGCAAGAGCTCTGCAAGCTTGCTGGTCTGGAGACTTGCAATGCAGACTTGCTGTAATTGTGCAACAAAATTGTGAAGCTTGGCAAGTCTGTAATAGTCATTTTCAAACTTGCAGCACAATTTCTTGCTATCTGGGGGTATGAGTTGGGGGGGAACCTCACGCCTTTTTTTTTTCATCTTCTGCAGACTGCAGACAAAAAAAATTATAATTTTCTAATGTCCAATAAACTACATTTCGACCGGACTACCGCTAGCAAATTTCGTCCGAATCCGAATCGCGAAAAGAATTCAATTGCGGACCCGAATCCAAAAAAAGACTACTGCTAACGAATTTCGTCCGCATCGCTCAACAAATTCAATTGCGGACCCGAATACGAAAAACGAAATATGCAAAATCTGAATAAAAACGAAACAAAACTAAACACATTTTTTGCTGGTGCACATGTCTACTTCTATTGACTCTCATCATGTTTCCAGAGCCTTAAACCTCAATATTAGATGGTATCTAATTTCTATAAAACTCTGCATGTTGTTAATGAATTGTGCAAGCTGGGCTAACAGCCATTGTATTTATGAGCAATAAACATCACCAGAACTGTGTGTATTACTAGCACAGGTTCTCTCCCTTTTCCACTCTTGAAACAATAAAAAAGTTTCTGAAGTTAAGCCTTAACAATGTACACGCATTACATATAATAATCTTTCATCTCATCTCTTCTATTACAGAAGGAAGTCCATACACATGGTGGATTGGCAAAGGCAACGAGAAGCACTACTACTGGGGAGATTCTGGACCTGGAATTCAGAAGTGTTCATGTGGAATTGATAGAAACTGCACTGACAGTAAATTCTTCTGCAATTGTGATGCTGACCAGAGGCAATGGTGAGTTATAGTATATACATTAACTGCATCAGATAAAGTCAGCCATTATTTTCTGGCTATTATGTTGCTTTTACCTTCAAGTGATACTGAGGTTTGTAGTGGCACAATAGGGCAGCCACAAATTGTGTAATTCGGATGTAGATGTAGATGAATGTCAGAGCAATGCAATCTGCAATCTGTCCTTCATCAAAACAGATAAATGTAGTTTATAACCACAAGATATTTGAATGTGATAGCATATACTGTATGTCTCTAAGTTCTAAAAATTAGAAATAGTTTTAATAAACTTCCATAGAGAAGCCTTATAGAGAAGGCTCTCTTTTTCATAAACCTGTTGCAACATACAAACTTACAATACTATTACCCTATTCTTCTACATTGCAGTTTGTAAGCAGATGGGGCCATTTTTTCACAGCATAGCAGTATTTTTAGAATACTTTGCAGAAATGTATGAATTTCTTAAAATCTACCCTGTTAAGAATTTGCTGATAAGTATTGACAATCTGCTACAAGATATGGATATCTGCTGTAATTCACACATTCTCCAACTCCAACTTGTACAGGGGTGTACCAATGACAATATTATAGAAGAAAATATAGAGATTAATTTGGTGATAGTGTTCAATGTATTATTATTAGCAGGAGGTGGCTGAAAGTTTTCATTTCTTTAGAATTGATTTGTTTTGCTATAAATTAATTTCTCTATACTGCTGATAGTATTATATTTATGTAAAGACTGCAGATTTGTGGGCAAATGAGCATCTGTTTGGTAAACTGGGTCATCTTAGGCTGCTGATTCAGTTAACACTCAAAGTAATGCATGGAGTCAGGTAGCACATCTAAAAACAGTTAAGCTTCATTCTAAATATTGTTCTTAGGCAGCGCTTATGGTTTTTCATCTTGTTCCTGTGCCTTAGTGTGATATCTTAACTGGAAAAATATTTCTAGCACGTCCAAAAAGCTGGATGTCTTTTTCTATTGGCACAAGAGATACAGCTTTGACGGAGTATAGATAAGCTTGACGGAGTATAGATAAGCTTGACGGAGTATAGATAAACAGAGAAACAGGACTTGGTGCCTTGGTCCTCTTCTCAGTAAAAGTGTTGCAGGTAGGGATGCATTGAAATGGAATTTTGAGACCGAAACCAAAAATAAAAAATTGTGTCAGGCCCAAACCGAAAATTACTTTTTTTCAAATCTTTAAAAAAAAAATTACATTATTTTTACATTTTTTTTTTCATTTTTTTTCCTTTACTGCTGGTGATCTAGGGAAATATCAGGGGTCTAATCAGACCCCTGATTTTTCCCTTTTAAAATAGAAAAAGAGATTCAGGACACGGAGTCATGAATCTCCTTTTCTGCAGCCCCTGTACTGAATGAACAGGAATCCTCTATAATGAGTGCTCCAACCCATTCATACATTGTGTATATGGTGTACTTACTATGTCCACAATCATGAATGAATAGGAAGTGATGTAGATCACTTCCCATTCATTCATACCTGGGACATGGTAAGCACACTATGTCCAGTTATTTACAAACACTCAACGCTCAGCTGATCGTTGAGTGTTTGTATACTCTCCTCCATCCTGAATTGGCTGTCAAAGGAGAGGGGCGGGTTGTGGGGCAGGAGAGCTCCACCTCCTGTGATAGATCACAGCACTCTCCTGCAATCACCACTCTCCATCCTGACACAGGAGGCAGAGCCAGGAGGTGTGGGAGGACAGCTCTGCCTTCTGTGACAGATTACAGCTGTCACTTCCCCATACCGCTCAGCATCCTGAAAGCTCTCCTCCCCACTGGGTGCCGGTACTGCATCAGAAGGCACTCTGACCGGCGCCCAGCGGGAAGGAGAGAAGCTGGGATACACTGGATTTGCAGCTGCATTTTTGGCCGTCATGGCATTTTCAGCAATTTGCCAAAAGTGCCATTTTCAACTAAATGTTTTGGCGGTCAGGATTTCGGTGCATCCCTAATTGCAAGCTAGGTGTATATTGTAGTTTCATTTGTAACTTTCCTTAGTTTAGCTAGCCTGATAGAAGTTGTTTTGGTTTAATAATGAGAACCCCAAAAAAGTAGCTACCAAGACCTTTCCCCCCCCCCCCCACACCAC